GCCATAAAATGACTTACGGGAAACAAAGAACAAAAAGGATATAATTACCTCAAAAGAACAAAGGAACCGCGTGTATGATCACTAATGCTTTCTCCTACTACCTCGTCAAAATTCTTAGGGAAGAATGTGTCGTGTTTCTTTATTTTTTAGTTGTTATTATCTTTTAAATATTCTTTCAAATATTTAAAAGGATTTTGTTAGGGTTAGTTCAGTCAAAAATAGGAAAAGTTAGAAAAGGTTTAAATTGATAAAGATATGGTTAAAATGTATTTTTTTCCTAATTTTTCCTAATTTATATGTACATATGACTTAAATATATTATCATAATTATCTTTGTACTTAATTGTGTGATGATATTTTCTTTCATACTATATCTTTTAAATATGATTTATGTTTGATTTTATTTGATATATATATACACACATCCGTTTCCAACAAGTATCCGCTTCCTAATATTTTTTAAAAACCCGCTTCCACGCTTTTAAACGCTTCCGCTTCCGCATACCGCTTCTAATTCCATGCAACTTAGGCATAAATTCAGACGATTAAAAACTGAGTTTTTTATGGAATAGTAACGAGTTAAAAAACAATGTTTAATACGTAGCATACCATTAGTAACATGACTATAACAAAACTAAAATATTGGTTTCCAAATTGATTTTTTCACGTTTTTTTATGTATTATTTCATTAATCAATATGCTGTTGTAGCAAATGAGATCGAAACGATGAACAATCCAATTGTAATTATATTCCATTAACAGAATAACTATCATTTGGTTGATGATTGAATAAACAGTTTTTTGTTTTTTTTTTGAAAAAATAATATTTGTAGTTTTTTTTTTTTTTTGCTAAAAGTATTTGTAGTTTCTAACTAATTATTAGCAAAACAATTTTTGTTAATGATATAACGCACATGTGCCCACTTAAAAAAAGCTGAAACTCCAAAAATTGGAAACAGACGAAACAACGAAGCTGTGTCTTGCAGATTGGTAAACGTACATAGACTGAAATATTCATGCATGGAAGCAACCTAGCTAGT